TGGCAGCGGTCCGACGATGTCCATCCTCCATTTCATGAACGACCATGGGGACAAAACTGAATACGAAGGTTCTGTCGGATGATACACCAGTGGTGCATAGGGTTAACTATCACATTTTCGCACGAACTTTGGCGTCTTGTTCCATGCGGTTCCAGTAATATCCTGCCCTTACCAATTTCAGAACCACGAAATATGTGCCCGAATGGTTGTCGCATATCCCCTCGTGGACTTTTCTCATGACATAGTTAGCTTCGGATGCCCCTAAACATAGGACCAGCGTGCCTTGGAAAGATTTTCTATATAATTGGTCTCTCTTGAAGCTATATCGCGCTGCTTTGGTGCGCAACGTCCGGGATGCTTTGGGGTTTTCGGGCTACTTCCCGTGCTCAAGATAATAGATGATTTTATTTCTCCAGTCCAAGACCAAATTAGTTGAATTTACCTCATATTAACCATCCACATCCAGGACTGAGTTCATCAGTTTTACTATCGTCCCAGACTCCGATCTCTTTATTTCTATCGATGATCCTACGTTTGCCAATGCGTATGCTTTTACGTCATCCTTCACTGGGATATGATCAATTGACCACTCCCGGAATCGCACCAACAAAGCCTGGACCTTTAACACGTGTTGTTGCATTTGGATTCGAAGACCTCGTAGACCTAATTTACCACCATCTGTGTGTCACATTTGATTTCGATGACCTCGGAGTCAAGTCCCCGGGCTAATTCGAGCCCTACAATCAAAGCTTCATACTTTGCTTCATTGTTAGTTAAAGGGACCGTTCTAATAACTTGCCTTAGGGTTTCCCCCGAAGGCGTGATTATGACTATTTTGAGCCCGAACCTTTTTATGTTGGAAGCTCCATCCGCAAATAAGGTACAAACTCCCGATGTCGATTCCGGCACCATTACTACCTCCTTGGTCGCTAAAGGCAATAATCCCAGATTGAAATCGGCACTGAAGTTAGCCAAGACTTGCGACTTAATTCCAGTCCTTGGTTTATATTCTATGTCGAATTCACTCATTTCAACGGCCCATTTGGCCAATTTACTCGAGATCTCGGGCTTATGGAGGATGTCTGCAAAGGGAAGTAGTCACCACGCTATTGGGTGACATTGAAAGTAGGGCCTCAGCTTCCGAGCGGCAGCTACGAGAGCTAAGGCCAGTTTCTCCAAATGTGGGTAGCGAGTTTCTACTCCCATTAAAATTTTACTAACACAACAAATGGGGGATTGTGTACCTTCGTCCTCTCGGACTAAAATCGCACTTACTGCAACTTCCGAGATCGCGAGGTAAACTAGCAATGTTTCACCTTCTTTTGGTCTTGAGAGCGATGGAGGTGTTGACAAGTACTTATTCAAATCCTCAAAGCACAATGGCACTCCAGTGTCCATTCAAAATTATTTTCTTTTTGAGTAGTGCGAAGAAGCGATGACATTTTTCTGATGACCGGGAAATGAACCCGCTCAAAGCTGCAGACATCCCTGTGAGCCTTTAGACTTCCTTTACGGTTGACAGTTGGTCCGTGATATCTTCTATGGCCTTGATTTTATCGGCGTTTACCTTAATTCTCCTTTGTGAGACAGAAATCCCAGAAACTTACTAGAGCTAACCCCGAACGCGCATTTCTCGGGATTAAGTTTCATATTTTGCTTCCTCAGGATGTCAAAATTTTCTTGCATACGTTTAAGGTGATCACTTGCATTTAGTGACTTAACGAGCATGTCGTTTATATAAACTTCCATAGTTTTTCCTATTTGATTTTCAAACATCCTATTCACGAGCCGCTGATAAGTGGCTCCGGCGTTTTTCAACCTGAAAGGCATCACATTGTAACAATATGTACCGAAATTTGTTATAAACGAAGTACTTTTCTGATCTTCTGGGTTCATCTTAATTTGGTTGTACCCAAAATAAGCATCGAGGAAACTCATTAACTCGTGCCCGGCCGTAGCATCAATTATTTGATCGATATTTGGCAGTAGGAACGGGTCTTTCGGGCATGCCCTATTAAGATCTTCATAATCTATACACATGCAAAATTTACTGTTCTTCTTAGGAACCACTACTACATTGGCTAGCCAGTCTGGATATCTTACCTCTTGGATCGAACTGATATTAAGTAAACGGGTTACCTCTTATTTGACGAATTTATTCCTGGCTTCAGCAATAGGGCGTTTCTTTTGTCTTACCGGAGGTACGTTGGGATCCAAGCTTAACTTGTGTATGGATACCTCCGTCGGGATGCCTGTCATATCCTCAAGAGACCACGCAAAACAATCGTCATTATATTTAAGGAATTCAATAAAATCAGACCTGAGCTCCGGGTGCAGTCCCGTCCCCAAGTGGAATTCCTTTCTAGGAATTCCTCGAACAATGCAACTTGCTCCAGTTCTTCCGCTGTTCGTTGCATCCATCTCTTCTTGAACTTGGAAATACCTCGGCACTTGAAAATATTTTGACGCCTCTGTCCCCGGGCTAACTTCTTCTAGTTCGGGAGTGGGTGCTGGTTCCTGTAATTGCTATATCGCGTGTTCCTTTCCTTTGCTACCGGGCACCCAAATTGCATTCATCTCCCTCGCTGCCAGTTGATCACCCCTTATCTGCTTAATTCCCTCGGGCATTGGAAACTTCAGCAATTGATGATATATTGATGGTACAACTTTCTTCCCGTGCAACCAGGGTCTTCCTAGAATGATGTTGTATCCCATATCACCATCTACCACTTTAAAAAGAGTTCTTTTCATTACTCCTTCAGCGTTGGCGAGTAATAATATTTCTCCCCGGGTCTTCACGCTTGCGAGGTCGAATCCGGTAAGGAGCTTCGTGGCCAGAATAATGCTTCCGGTAAGTTTAGCTTGCTCTAATACTCTCTATTGTATGATATTAGCCGAACTTCCTAGATCCACTAGAACACGTTTAATTTTAAAATCTAGCAGATTTAAAGAAATTACCAGAGCGTCGTTGTGTGATAGCAGCAATCCATCTATGTCCTCCTCCGTAAAAGTGATATCATCTTCCCAGATTCCTTTTACTATGAGTTATTGACACTTTCATCGTCTTTGCTGCCGAGAATGTGACCCCGTTTATCTCATTCCCTCAGAAGATCATGTTGATCGTCTGGCATGGGGGATCTTCTCCCGCTTTCGAGGGTTCCGCATTGTCCCCGTTTCGACCATAATTGTTCTTAGCTTGGTCACTTAAGAATTCTCTGAGGTGACCATTCTTCAACAATGTTGCAATTTCTTCCCCGAGGTGTTGGCAGTCCCCCATCTGGTGGCCATTCATCCCATGATATTCACACTATAGGTTGGGATCCCTCTGGCTGGAATCATATCTCATTGGTGTCGGAAATCGTACCTATGTGATATTTATCATGGCTGATAATAATTCCACTATACTGACGTTGAAGTTGTATTCCGATAACTTGGGATAAGAAAGACCCCGTGACCCTGTCGTTTCTCTATCCTGTAGTGATCTACAATTCCGTCCGTGATCAGTCCTCCTGTCAATGGCGAACTTGTCCGCTGTACAAAAGCCTCTTCCACGGCCTTCGGTCCATTCGTAGGGCCAAAACCGGCCCTTCGAAGGTCGTCTATCCGTCTCGTAATCATCCTTTGATTTTTCTCTATTCTTCTCTCGTCCTTTGGTCGATGATGGAAAGTCAAGCTGATCATCCTCGATTCTTATTTTTGACTCGTACCGGTTGTGGACATCTGCCCAAGTCGTTGCTTAAAACTCAAGTTAGTTTTCCTTCGGTTTCTGGGAAGCGTATGAACTTATTGGATTCAATCCCTTGGTGAATGCTTCAGCTGCCCATTAATCTAGGACATCCGGGAGCAACATTCTTTCCTTCTAGAATCGGGTAATGAATTCTCGTAGTAACTCAGACTCTCCTTGCACAATCCTGAATATATTAGCCTTTCGGGCCTGTACTTTCCTGGCCCCGGCATCAGCCTTGATGAACGAGTCTGCAAACATTTTAAAGGAATTTATGGAGTGCTCGGGTAATAGTGAAACTACGTTAGGGCTCCCCATGTGAGAGTTTCTCCAAATTTCTTTAACAACATAGATTCAATTTCATGAGGAGCTAAATAATTTCCTTTCACCACTGTTGTGTAGGTGGTAATATTCTCCTGAGGGTCTGATGTTCCGTCATACTTTGGCACTTCAGACATTTTGAACCTTTTTGGGATTAATTTTGGTGCCACACTTGCCTTGTATGGAAATTGAGTATACTTTGAATTAGGGCCTTTCAGCACTGGTGGCACACTTGGGATTTGGTCCATGTGGGCGTTCACTTCCCTCATAAACCGTAAAATTTCATTCTTGAAAGTATCGTTCTCGCTATTGAGGTCGGATCCGCTTCCCCTAGCCCCATCTGAGCCAACTTCACCCCCGGGAGTGTTGTTGTCGACCCTCTAGGCTGTTTGGTTTGCGAGAACACCGGGAGGAATTGGATCTTGACTGTTTGCATTATTCGAATCCCCCGACAATGCCTGCTTCAACTCTGTCATAACCATATCTTGTCGCGTGAGGTGGCCTAGAATGATCGCCTGTTGCTCTTGCAAGACCCTTACCGTGTCAACGACATGTTCCTCATCAGAACCATCAGGAGTTGTCTCTCGAACCTATCGAGGATATTGCCTATCATGCATCGGTGTGTCGCCATTCCCCTCATTGTGGGTGTCACTGATTGAGTCCTCGAAATGAGGCTGATCTCCTCAAATCTCGGGGTTGTGCATGTTGTTTACAGTGTTATCTGCCATTTCTTATGATTTTTTCTAAGACAAAATAATCAAAACATGTTAGTAAAAAGGCAAGGATCAACTTAATTGCACGACTGTCTAGGCCCTACAGTGGGCGCCAAACTGTTTACCTATAAAACGGTACAGTTGAATTTATACGTGGTTTCTAGACAGGTAAATTAATTTAATCCTGAAATAATAAAATAATCGAAGAATTATGCAATACGTAGCCTTAAAATGTAGGCGAAATGGCAGAAGCAACAGTTTCGGGAACAAGGTTTCCGGGCACAACAATAATGAAATCAAAAAGCTATAAAGTGAGATTGTATTAAGCTTTATATAGAATGTAGTGTAAGTTTTCCAGAAAATTCCTCCCCCTTACATGATAGTTGAGCTCATGATTTATAGCTACGTCTAGGGAAGGAGGTCCTAGGATCATGCCCCTCTTTAGTGTCAATTATAAGGGTCATTGATGAAGATGTAACCGTGAGCATAAATGCCAAATTTCTTATAATGGGCAATCGTATTTAATACCATGAAATATTCCCTATTAAATGCTATCGGGCGAGGAGTATTTATTACGTCCTTATGAGCGTTATTCTCCCCGGTAACATACGGAACAGTTGCCTTCGGTCTTGGACATTGCCCCCTTAGGTTCCACGTGTCCCTTTTTTGGCGACCATGTGGCATTGCATATTTTATCCTATACAATTTTAATATTCAGATGTGTATTCAGATTTATATATCTTAATCTTAATATACATCTTGATATTCAGATGTGTATTCAGATTCAGACGTCTTAATCTTAGAAAAATAAATAAGGACTAACCCCTTACGGGGCATTCCTGTCAATCACCCGCAAGCCACATCACTTTGTTGTAAGTCCACTTTCATACCTAAAAATTTGAGGCCTATTAATTCACATTGTTGACACCCAATTTTTCTCTATATATTTTCAATATGCAAAATAACTTCAAAATGGTATATGTATGCATACATGCATATGTCCAAGTGCTTCATTACTTTTCCTTAATTTTAAAAGATTTTTAAATCTATTTATTCTCCTATTTTTATCCATAAAAATCCAGTAATTGTTTACAAAAATTATCACTTTGGTGATCCACTTATTGCACTTTTATATTTATGCTAAAATATAGCCAAGGGAATTTTTGCATATTTTTACAAATTTATTTAGTATTTTTAAAGCTAAGTTGCATATAATTGCAATATTAGCCTCTTTTAAGAGTTAACTGCGTTTATATTCATAAAATTAGGTCTAGTATTTTTAAATAGTTAATTATGTGCTATAAATCATTTTAGTACCTTTAATTTATTTCCAGAAATTATTTATTATTTTTTATAAATCAAATAGGAAAAATTGGCTATTTAAATGTTAGCCCAATTTTATTTCGATTGTAGCCTAATTTTGACCCCAATTTTAATCCCAATTACCCCGGTCCGATTTTTATTTAACCCCGACCCAATTACAATCAAACCGACCCATGCCCGCATCCCTACTTACCCGTTTAAATCCAGGCCGTTGATCATTCAGATCAACGGCCAAAAATCATCCTTGCCTTAATTAATTCTAAACGACCCCTAAACCCTATCATTTCTCACCATACGCCGTCTCTGAATCCCTCTTCTCTCAAACACTCTCTGCAACACCCCCAAACCCTAGCCGCCGCCACCCTAATCCACCTTAATCCATGGCCTTCCGAGGTAATCTGAGACCTATACCTGCCTTCCATGGCTTCTATGTGTTTGGTTCTGTGGTCTAATGACCAGACTTTGAAGGGATTTGGTTCAGTCGTTGCTCGATGACCTTTCTCCAGTCATCCTTGACCTTTCTCCGGCCAACCATGGCCATTCGAGTCAGATCTTTGACTCTCCTGGTTAGATCGGTAACTTTCAAGGCCTGTCTCGTTGCTTTTGGGTTTTTCTGAAACCCTAATCTCTAAGACTTATTCGATTTCTTTCAGATCTACCTTAGATCTACGCTTGTCATGAACTTCTTTAACTTTGCTTTCAAAAAGGACTCTTCATCTTTTCCGATTAGGGTTTTCCTTCAAGTTTTTCTTTTCAAAATCTTTTCTCTGATTTTAATGTGTCTGTGATTTTACTATGTTTTGTTCATGTTATTCTCCTATCTGAGTTTAGCATGTTAAAAAAACTAATTTCTTTTGGGTTCATTCGAGTTTCTGAAGCTGTTTGCTAAGTGTTTGTTTGATTTATTTGTTTATCATCTTTAAACTCGATTGATGTGGAAAACCCTAATTTCCTTTTGGTTCATTCGAGTTCTGAAACAGTTTGTTAGATAAGTGCTTGTTTGGCTAAGTTCTTGTTCGATTTATTTGATTATCATCTTTTAAGCTTGACTAGTATTGAAGGAACCTATGTCTTTGGGTTTGAAACTGTTCGTTTGAATACCTGACTCGATTTGAAAGTTCCTTGTTTTAGAACCTCTTTTCTTTATGTGAGTCCTCTGATTCTGGGTTTTTACTATCTTTAAAACTCGACTATGCTTGAAACCCTGACTTTTCAAAAGGTCTTTCATCTGTTACTGTGAGACCCTTTACATGCTTCTGATACTCTATTTTTTCTTCACTATTGATTCAATGTGACTTGACCTACTTGAGTATTATGCTTGGAATGTTTGCTATCTACTGAACTTTGTGCTACAATTCCATGCTGTTTCTTTTGCCAATAGGTTTGGCCTCGCATATCTAGTGTTTGTTCACTCTATTTATATGCTGAGGATCCTTCTTTGATTGATCTTCAATCTTGGGACTGATTTCAAACTTTTCTTTTGTGAACTCTAATTTCTCTCGCCTGTTAAAGTTAATTGATTCCTGTCCTTATTTTGCCTTGTTGAATCTTTTCCAGAATAAGTGTATCTCTATACGTGGACTCTATTGCTTACTTAATGTTTTAGTACTTCTTTTATGGTAATAATCAGTCTGCCTACAAACTGATTTTCTTTCCTTATTTTGAATCTGTTAGCCCCGTTAAACAAGTGATTCCTCAATTAAAGGGGAATCACTTGGTTGATTGATTCTGACTATTGATTGTTTCCATATTTGTATTGAACTTTACTTATTGCCTTATTTCTCACATGTTTTCAAAACTATAAAAACCCACGCCCTCTTCTTTCAAAGACACGAACACAAGGAATAAAATACTTGAATTCCGACACACACTCCACTAAAATCTCTCTCTTTTCTCTGTTGCTACTTGTATTGCTGCCTTACCTAGTCGGCTGAAAGTCAAGGCTAGGCTGTGGGAAGCTTGCTTACTTTTCTCTGCATTTGCATCTTTACTGGTATGTTCTAATTAATTTTCAGCATCAACAACAACATGTTTCTTTACTATTTCTTGCACCCTTGTTTGTTTCCTATTTGTATTTAATCAAGTTCCATTGTTAAGCATGCTGTAATCTGCCCTTTCAATTCTGAATTAATGCTTTCTTTTGAATTCTGTCAGTCACTTATTATGGCTTATGAATCCTAAACCCCAATCCCCAATGTGTTTGGTATCTGTGGTTGGTTTGGAGCATGACAACATTGGACATTGCTGTGCATGACCCAAACCTGATCCCCCTGGGATCATAACCTCCATGTCCCCTCTATATGTTGTGTGTTCTGATTGGTTTATAGGCATGCCAACACCTTCTATTGCTGTGCATACCCAAATCTGATCCCTGCCTAAGGGTATATGCTCTTTGCAATATATTCCCAAACCCCTGACCCCTTTGTATGAAATTATGAACTCTGTGCTTTACCACTACTGTTTTCCCATCATCCCTTACCCCTTCCGTTCTCCCCTCAGTTTTTAAATCTCTATTCCTGCACTTCCACCATGTTCTTAGACTTATGTTCTGCCCCTCTTGTGTGAGCCTTGCCTTGGGACCATGAGCTCCCTCTGAACTTGGACACATAAGGGCTGGCCCTTCCACACTGCACTCATCTCTATCTGGTTCTATGAACCTGGGTGTAAGCACTGCCCGGGGTCCTTTGAGACCCTTAGGGAATTCTGACACACCCAGGTCTGAGAAAGGCTTTGAAACATGGCATTTTGAGGTGGTTTATTCCCTAACTCAGAGAGGAAGTCAAGAATCAGGCTTCCTCTGGTTGTAACTTCTTTTTATTTTTTTTATTTTGATGTAATTCATTATTTATGGTTTGTAATAATTTGTAATAAACACACGGGGTTGTCTAGTGGAAAAGGGATGGGTAATATGCATGCTCAAGGTTAGAAAACATGTCGATAGGATTTGTGTTTTGAATGATTCAATTCTGCATTTAAAAAGCATGCCTATAGGACTGGTTTTAAATCCTGCGTGTTCAATTCTGCATTTAGACACCATGTCTATAGGATTTATTTTAAATTTTGCATGTTCAATTTAACATCTAGATAACCTGCCTATAGGACTTTATTTAAAATTCTGCACGCTTGTTACCACTTAGACATCATGCTCTAGGATCTAAACGGCTATAAGCGAGTATCATGTTCATAATGTTAAAATCAGTATAATGTATAGAAATCATGCCTATAGGAATTCCCAAGTAAAATCCTGCCTGTTTCCATTCTACATTCAACTAGATATCATGCCTATAGGGGTTAAAATCATTTAGATATCATGTCTATAGGGGATTAAAATCAGCAATAGTAGATACCATCATCTGCAGAATCTGAAACTAGTCTAATTTAAAATCAGTCTATTCTGAACCCGTTTTTAAGTAACCCAATCTCCTTATTTAACACGGTTTAGCAAGCATGCCTATAGGATCTCAAACCGTTCGTTTTTTAAATTTGTTATTGCTCTGCCACATTCTGAATTGGTAATAGATATCATGTTCATAAGATCTCACTCAAACACTTAGGCAAACCTTAGGTAATAACAACAAATAAAACTGAGCCCGCTTCTGTTAACTAGTAATTGCTACAACCAGCAGGCAGGCCTGATTCAGACTTCTTATTTGAGTTACATAATAAATTGGTCTGCTTCAACAACTTAAACTCCCTTTTGACTTAGTATTTTTGGATTCAGACCCTGATTGTTGTTTGAGTCATGCTATTTGGTTGCTTTGCTTGAGGAGGTATACATGAGCCTTCAGTGTTTACGTGCTTCCCCTTTTAATGTGTTGTCCTATGTGTTTTGTATGTCGCCTTAGCTTTTTCACCTTTGAAACCTCAAGGTAAGCCTAATATCCCTCCCCTTTAGGACTAGTAGTCCTAAGTGCCTCCGGGACTGATAGGAATGGGACGGGTAATGCA